TTGAGACGCGCATGCGCTGTGATATAAGCACACCAGCAGATCATTCTCTCGACTTCCCTTTCCTATCGCTAGTCTGAGTCTAACCGTCAAACCTAACGACTCTCCGCTTAGTCGCCATTTTAGGGCTAATCTCTCTCCTCTTTCTCTCGCATTCTTTCACACGATTTTGTATTACTTTTAGCCGTTTTTAGCGTATATTTTAACCGAAACCCGAAAATGTATTAATTGTTTAAACGTTTTGCTAATAATAAACACGTTTTAATCGATAATCGTTACGAAACTACCGTTTTATTTGAGACATTCGTCTCAATATACTGTACATATTGTATATTACTACATAATATGAAGTAATATTATTATGATACATGTATGTTTGAGTACAGTATTATACATTGCGTCTGCCTTGATTAATCAAGAATATTTTACTGCCAGTCAAACATATAAGCCCGATTTAATGAATTAATGAAATAGTCAAGTATCGTTATAACTGCTTAGACTTAAAAAAGTTTGTTCATGTTTTCGCTGTTTAAATGGTTTGTTGTATTGGAAAAACACTTCGAGAGTCCCAATGCTTCAAAGCATAAGAAGTGAGCCCTTCTCTTATAACTAAGTTCAAAATGTTGGCTGAATATGAATTCTTGGTTCTCACTAATCACTAATTATAATAACTAAACTTACTGTATAAATACAAAATATTAAATTAAAATATTAATAGATAATTATTCTTATTTGATATAAATATTAACTAAATAGATAACATTATAAAACAATTAAATATAAATTTGGTTGAATTCTGAAGCAAGTGATTGTTTTATGCGACCACACAATCGTGATTTTCGCACATTTTGCGTCCGGCTTCTACTGCTCGTCGCCTCAGACCTTCAATATACACCTGAAATATGTTTTATTCATCACATTATTATTATATTTAACTTATGTTAACATATTTGTTAAGAATAATAAAAATTAATTAGCAGATGAAAAATATAATTTAAATACTGTACAGTTAATGTTAGACACTTCCCGCCTAGGTTTTATATATTCCGGGAATTAATTTTTTTGGGAAAAGATATTGGGAAAATAAGAATCTTCCAAAGTATCTAACATTATGTACAGTATATGTAACAAATTTTTATATACAAAATAAATTAAATCTCCTGTTAATATAAAATATTTATTTTAAAATATGCTATTTACAAAACAGTGCTATGTTTATGGAATTTAATTCAATTATTAAAATGATTATTTATTGGTATGGGTTTTTGTCAATGTGTAAGGCAAAGGTAATTCCTTGACATGTAATGTAACTTTACTATGCATTGCTTTAGTAATAAACAAAATACGAGAATGTATAAAGTAAATTAAAAATATTTAAAATAACTAATTTTTGATAAGTGGACAAATACAGGGTGGAGATTAATCAACTATACAAAAGTAAACTCGAATATCTCGAAAGGTATTCGGTCTAGAAATTCAAATGATATATCAAAATACTTATCAACTGCGGGAGTTTTTGTTATGATATGGTCAATATGTTTGACTTCTTATTTTAGAAATAATCTCAAATAAAGCAAAATATTATCATTTTTTCCATAGACATAATGTTAAATTCAAACTTATTTTGAGCAAAATCCTGAAATAGTTATCAAGTTAATTTTGCTCCTGTTTAAGAATATGTTGAAATTGTTGAATTTTTAAGGAATATGTCAGATTAAGTTGGCAAGCCTATTTATTAGTTTATTAAATGATGTTACTATTTATCAAAGAATACTTAAACAAATATAATTTAATAACAGAATTATATGAACAATGATTAGAGACTGAATCGCAGGTTAAATATAGAAAAAAAGATGTTAAACCTCTCTATTAAATAATCCCAGATTGAGGGGTATGTCATCTCTGCCATGTCTTATCTGAGCCTCAAACAGAGCGAATACAGGCTTGTGATCAGATGTTTGAAATGTTGGCACACTTTTGTACTGGTAATTAATTATATGTCCCAAACGTTTAGTTCTATAGAGTATACGATCGGTAAAAGAGGGAACTCTTTTTAATACAGTCTCGTATTGATCTGAATTGAGCTCAAACTTATAGGTCGGAGCAAACATCACTTGAGACGCCTCTGTGAAGCCCCTAAAGAGTGTCGATTTGGCCATAGATTGAGTCAATTGATCGAATTCAAGCAGATTGTCGTACATCTCATCGCACTCTACAGATGACAAGTAATGGCAAACATCTTCACGCTTTGAATCGAGTCTGAAGTTGAGGTCTCCGAACCAAAAGACACAATCGAAACGTCCCGAAACATCATTCGTTATGTATCGGCTTTTGAGTAGAGAACAATCTTTGGGTAAATTAATACTCGTAATAATCTTCTCGTATTCTTCGACTCTGCGCTCACATTGGCTTTCGTGGGCCGGAAAGTGAGAGTTTATGAATAGAAATGAAGTGCCAAATATGCAAAATGACACTCCAATCGCCCCCTTTGTCTTTAGCATAGGTATAGCGCACGGACTTCGGCTGTTATACGTCTCGTCCTCTGGTATCGACAAATACCATATCAAAAACCTATTGTTCACAATAATTGCCAATTTTAATGCACATTTTCATTTGCAATTTTGCTTTAACTTTTGAAGAATAGAATCGGCACAACTAGTATTTTACTAATTTATATTACTTATTTAACAAATATATTTATAATATGATATGGAAATGAAACTGTGTTTATTCAACTAAATAATGGTGTAAACTATTTGTCTCTATCTATTATGGATCAGGAGATAATCCCATCTGAAGGAGTCATCCTCCAAAAATTGTTTGGGAAATGCTATAAAATGGGTTTTTATAATATTTAAAAAACAATGTCAAAAGATAAAAATATACCCAAATTACCTTTTGTATATTTAATTCATATGATATCCCATACAAATAGCAAACTCTCATTGCATATTCTAACAAATTTTACCAAATTGTACATCGAATTGTTATATAATGTCCAAATATTACGCAATAATTTTTTTCGAAAAAGTGTTCTAAGTCGAATAACTTGAATAGTATTCAAGATATAAAAAAGTTAATATTGTAATCGTATTCAGCGTTAAATTTCATATAAATTTCATGTATTATATGTAAATGGAAATTTTTATGTTGCCAACGGTTAGCAAAATTACATATCGCCAATATTTTTACAGTTAAAAACCCCATTGGATAACATGGTCCAAACATAGTTTGGAGGATGACTCCTTCAAATTAGATTATCTCCTGATTCATAATAGATAGAGACAAATAGTTTACACCATTATGTAGATTCTAGGGTGACAAAGTCGCCATCTTTCTCACCTTGAGTAGAGTGCTACTAAGTATTAATACAAATAATTTATCTATCTTAATGTTTAAATTATATTACCAATGTATATTAAACTTTGTAACACTCTA